CACCCCTGTGCTTTGGGTAGAGGCTTACCTGCCCAGAGACATAGCCATGTCTCTCTCCCTGGGCTGAGAAAAGAAGGGTTCTGCACTCTGATTTGACCTAGAGCATGATGAGAGTCAGGCCAGGACCAAGAGTGTCCAGGGCACAGAATGTGTACGTACTCCAATTGCTCCCCGATCCCTTGGCTGCTCCACCTGGAGGAGATGATTTGTAAAAGGAGGCAGTTTCTCTGCACACGGACCAGCGTGGCTAGCTGATAGAAGCCTTCAACTATTAACAGAAGTTGGAAAACTGAAACCCTTGGTTTGGGCTTCTATTTGAGGCCTACAGGTAGGACTGAGGCTGGGTGATGGAGTGCAGGCTGTCTACTCTCTCTGGCCTGAAAGAGAAGTGGGAGGAAAGGTAAGGCTGGGGGTATTCTTGAGGCAGGGGGAGAGCATGATACCTTTATAAGCTGCTTTCTTGAGGTCTCAGTTACACAACAGTCACATGAGTCTCACCGCCACCGTCTGTTCTGTCACTTCCCTTCCTGGACTGGGCTGAGCTGCCTCTGGCTCTCTCACCTGTCTGTTGCCTCCCCCTTGTGTGAGATGCCACTCTTCCCAACACCCTTCACTCCCAGGCCTCAGGGCTAGGGCCTCCTTGGGCCCCACTGGGTAAACCAGCCTCTGCCCTGCTGCCTGGCAGCCCCTTTGTTGGGTTCCAGAACAGACGGGTTTTCTCTGTGAAAACAGAGACAAAGCAGGTCTGACAAGGGTGCTGTTGGGGATTGCAAATATGATTGAGACACATCTAGTCCCCGGTGCAAGAGGCATGACCCAAAGTCACCAACGCAGGATCTAACCCTGTTTAGAAGCTTAGATCAACTGCTTAGAAGTTATGTGAACTTGAGGTGGTCACTCACCCTCCCCAAGGCCCAGTTTCCTGATGAGAAGTGGTTCTGCCTTTTTGTCTGCCCTGAAATTTAGCTCAGGGCCAGTAACTAGACTCCAATTGTCAGAATCAGCTTTGTCCCTGTTGAGACCCTCAGAGACTGGCTCCCTCTAGAACCTCTAGCCTCTCAGCCCCCCAAGGGAGGCACGGTAGTGGCAGTGTGGGGTGTTCCCACCACAATTCCAAGGCTAGCTAATCAAGTCTAGGCTAGACACACAGCAAGCACTCAAAATATGTTTATTGAGGGATTGAATGGCACAAAACTAGAGCTGGGAAACTCCCTTTGTCACAGGCACGCCCTCCCTTGTGTGTTCTGCTGTACCAAACACACAGCTCAAAGGCCAGCTCTGTTGCCTCCTTGACTGAGTCCTGTCATCCCAGTCCCAGGATATGTGGGGCTTTAGCCCTCAACCCACCTCCCAGACTACACCACCTCCCAGACTACACCTTCCCCTTGAGTTTACCCTGGTGCCTGTGCCCCTGCTGCCTCCACCCCTTTCAGAGCCCCCCAAACCCTGCCTAGGGCTTTCCTTGGCTTGCTATCATTGTAGGGCCAAGTCCTAGCCCTGCAGAAAGCCTGCACAGCCCCACTCCATCCAACCCTGTCCCAAATTGCTGTTCTCTTCATCCCACAGATTCACAGGCTCCTAGCCATGACCAGTAGGCCTCTTGGATAATAGACACCTCGGTGGCCAGAGGCTATGGGACCTGGAGCTTGGCTAGACAGGCCATACTGAAATGGAGTCTTCTTAAATTCTTCTCTGGCTGCCCTCTGGGACCCTGGATTGGACTGGGCATCCTCTGGGGACACCGCATCGAGGGTTCCAATCCCCTTGGAATCCAGGCTGTTGTCTGGGAGGAGGGCACTGAGCCTTCAAGGAGGAATGTATTGGCCCAAGGGGCTGAGCCTGAATGGGGCGGACTCAACCCAGAGACCTTTGGTCATTGGGCCAGGGTGGGGAAGGGCAGTGTCTGAGCTCTCTGGCCAGCCCCTAGCACCACACAGGAAGGAATCCTCATGGGCTGCTCCGTTATCTTCATCAAACCCTCCACCCAGGGCTGCTTCCACCTTTGAGCTGTCCCCTAGTTTGGCCTTACCCTCACCCTAAGGGTGTTCCTATCCCAGCCCTTTCCTCCCCTTCACCCTAGGCTCAGCCCCAAGGCCATCTCCCAAGGGCATCTGCTCCTGCTGGAATCTGCCAACCCATTGAGGAAACAGAGCTGTGGTTTCTCCTGACCTTGGACAGACCTGGCCATACACAGAGTGGCTGGGCATAGTGCCCTGAACTACTTGGGGCTCCTCTGAAGGACAAAGCCACTGGGTGTGGGTGTGGCCTCCAAAGCAGCAGGAGCTGAAGCCTTCCCCCTCCTAGGCCCCCTCACGTCTTCCTTGCCTCTCTCTGGGCTATGGCCGAGGGGTGAGCTGAAATAGTAATTCCTATAACAGTGATAATATTGTTAATAGAGAATGGTTTTTAATACCTTCTGTGTGTCAGGCTCTCTGCTGAGTGCTGAGGAAACATAAATAAATATGACAGACACAGCCCTTGCCTCTGTGGATGTCTCGACCCCAACCCTGGGCAGGCACAGGTGATGGCATATGAAAAACAATACATCTTCGTTGAATGGATAAAGAATGTATGAAACAGGCAGTCTGGTTACACCCAACAGCACAGATGCCCGGTGGGGTGCGCAATGAACAACTAAGGTGGGCATGAGGCCTGACCCAGCGGCCACCATGTCCACCTTGGAGAGGGCTCCCAGGCCATGTAACTGCCTGTGAGTTGGTGCCCCAGCATGATAGGGATACAGCAACATAGCATGCCCCCAGAAACAAAGCCAATTAGAGTAAAAAGAAAATTCTGAGGGCTTCTTGGAGAAAGCAATGGGAAAAGGTTGGAGCAGGGTACCTCAGGAGTGAGCCTACAGTGTGGCCCCTAAGAAGGGCTGCCTCCAGTCTCCGGGAATGTGGCCTGGCCCAGACCTATGTCTTGTGAGAGGGCACTGTCAGAAGTGGGCTTCTGATGTCCTCTCAAGTCAAGGACATCATCGAGGACCTACTGTAGGAGATGACTTGCATGGACCCGGAACTGCCCCGGAAGCAGTACAATGAAATAGGCAAGTTTATGTGCCAGATTCTAGATGAGCCACTCCACACACCATCCCCATCTTTGACCCTGTGAGAGAAGCCTTCGGAGATAGACTATACTGCCGAGATGTGAAGGGCTGGGAAAGCTGTATTCAGGAGGGAGTGACATGCACTCCCCAAACAAAAGTAAACAAGTGGGCAATGAAGGAACTTCGAGGAGGCAGTTGGCAGTTCCCAGGGGTGTGTAAGCTGGGAGAAGGAAGCAAGTCTAAGGAGAAGTTTCAGGAATCCACCATGAGATGCCTTGGGTAGGAACTTCCACAGATTCTGAGGCCCCCTCTCCCCACAGCAAAGCTCCGCACCATTTACATTCACTATGTCTTGGAGTCTAAATGAGGTGGTTGACCACCCAGCCATGCTGTGCACCTAACCCTCCGACAGTCAGGGATGGGGGATGGGTGCCCCACTTTCCATGTCACTCAGTGAAGTGCAAGTCCTAGGGAGCCTCTGACCTAAGGGCCTCTGAGAGACCATGTAGAACAACTCTCCTGCTGGCCCTTCCACTCTGTCCTTGTGGAGTCCAACTCTGCGCAGAGTTGAGCAGAAACCTCCATCTCACAGTACTGAGTGCCCAATGGCTGATGCTCTGTGGGTATGGATACCCCCACCATACACAACACTGCTACACACACATCACTCACATCTCTCTGCCAGCTCAACAGACAGCAGCACCCATCTCTCGGAGAGGTACTCATGTTCCACCCTGAAGGGTGCCTCCCCTTGTTGGACTACCCTCGATTTGTGCCTTTCAAGCAGACGTTCTCTTTGGGGGTGTTAGAGATCTCACAGGACACATCTCACACCACAGCCTGTTAGCCTCCCAAGGACAGAGCGTTACCAGAACTCGGCCAAGAGGGCACATAATGTTGTCAAGAATGGCGAAATTAGGGACCTTCTCAGGGTTTGGAGAAGCAAACAGTGATGCCCTGATGTAGCGAGACACAAAGTATCCAGGAGAGCCAGAGGGTGGTAGGTGGGGCCCTCAGGCCACAGCACCTGCAAAGGTTGTTCAAGGACGCCCCTGGAGGACAATGGTTGAGCGTCGAGAGAAGACCCGGAAGGGACCCAAGTGAAAAGCTGCCCACAATTCCACTCCCTCAAATATTTCACTCTCCATCTTGTGGCATACCCACAACTTTTCCAGAAAGTCTGGGGAAACCGAGTTCTTTGTACAGGAGGAAGGGAGGGGACTGTGAAGACAGGGAGATGGCCTGAAAAGAGAGGGTAGCCAGAGAAGGCTTGAGTGCCCTGGGGAAGCAGTGACACCTGGAAGGACAAGACAAGGCACCTTGCTTCTAGATTCAAGTCAGTAGTCACCTCTTCCAGATTGCCTTCCAGGCCTCCTCAAACGAGGTTCAGTACCTTTCTGTTCTCACCCCCACACCTGGCACTGTCTGCTGTCATCCTGGGTCTGTGTTCCTGACCCAGGCCTGTTCAGGCCCAGGGGTCCCCATCAGTGCTCGCTTCGAGGACACCCCCACACCGAGGGGTGGGGGCACAGGTTTGCCTACTAGGACTTTGAGGAGGTTTCTGAGCAAGGAGCGGCCCCATCCCCCATCAGGGCCGTCCCTGGGCCAGGGCGCCGCCTCGTAGGAGCTACTTCAAAGGGCCTATGCCGGGGCTTCTGCGGCCCGGTTTGGGTCCACGGCCCGTAGAGCGCAGGCCAGGACAGGATCCCGGACGTCGGGGCCGTCCCAGTTCGTGGGTCTCGGAGAACGCGGAGGGGGTGTCAGGCAGCTGGCGGAGGGGCTGAGGGGCGGGTCCTCAGAGCCCCCCGAAGTGGGAGG